CCTTCTAAAGGGAAATGTTGAAAGCATTATTAGCTAAAAGCATATTATAATTACACTCAATTTTGTGAAGAAATTACTGAAAATAATGAATTTCCTATTGTTCTTTTTAAGATAAAGCTATAGATAGAATCTATAGAATTAATATAATTAGAGTAAAGCCACTGAAATATATGTTTTGTGGATAAAAATATTGACGATGATTTGCATTGATCCAAAGGTGATTCTAATAGTATATTTCGCTTGTCTAATTAACTTTTTTGTTTCTTTGGTAGTGTGTGCTTTGTCTGGACTCTGGCATAGATTGTTCATTCTCCTTTGTTCCAAAAGGGAGCTATCTCTTGACGACCATGCTTCATGGATGTTGAGTGTTACCATATGTTTGCCTTTTATGACCCTATTTAGCTAAGGATAACCACTTGATCACTCTTCTTTCTCTTTCTCTCTCCTTCATTTGTAGTTATTCCTTTAGTACATTTCTCTCTCTCTCAAACTAAACCTTTTCAGTGTATCACTATGATTAAATTCTTGTTAATTTTTTATTTTTTATTTTTAGATAAATCACATGTATTTTTCATGGAAGACACAATTCAGTTGGCTTTTGCTTACATAGATCAATATTTTGTTTTCTTAATTTCATAATTCGAAAGTGTAGATGAAATTTTACTTAATTTTCTGAAATCTTTGAAACAATTTGTGTACCTAAGAAAAAAATGTTACAGATTGACTAAAATAATAAAGTGACCACAAAAAATCCAGATAATTATTAGAATTTACATTACCATAAATTTATATTCTTCTTTTTACCTCTTCTGATGAAATGGAAATGCGTGGAACTTTTAGCTTAGATTCAGAGAATGTAGATATCATCATATATTTATTACTCACTTGTAATTTTGTCTTCATAATTTTTTTACTTTCTTGATTTTATTCTATGCACAAAAATATATGATACTTGATTAAGAAAAGAAGTAAAGTGAGCCATTCATGTGTTGATGATTTGGGACAAAGGAATTGGGTTGGAGATGGGGCCAATATCATTAAGTCGTGGGCCCAGCCAATTTTATTGTAAAAGAATCAAAACAAAGAGTAATGGGGATGATATGATGAAAAGGAGAAGAACCAGGGAGCAATGTGAAGGCGTGAGTGAAGCATGTGGATTTGGAGTGCATGTGTGTGTGAGATAAAGCTGCCACTTTGACCAATCAAACTTTTTCCTACTGGTTAAGTGAATCATGAGGTGCCTTCTGTTCATTGGGCCCTTATAAGATCAAATTTTTTTTTTTCTCTCTCTATAAATTAATTTTAGAAAAGTAAAGCAACAAGTGAGGAGTAACAGTGTTTGAATCTGACCCATCTCTGATAATGTACACGCACTGCACCAGACTGCACGAGTGCAAAAGTATTTGATGCTATAAATTTGGTATTGAATACTTTTTGTTTTTCTTCTATGGCCATGTCATATTAATGACCATAAAAGTTGGGAGAATTTTGTGAAAACACAGGCTAAATTATCACAATATATTGAAAATAGTCATTATTTCATTAAGTCATCTAAAATATTTCTCTGACCTCCACTTTCTTTAATTTTATGTGCATATATTAAATAATACCTACAAGTTTTTCTTTTTCTTTTTCTGGTTCCAAATAATACCTACCAGTTTAATAAACAGTTTTTGCTTATTTGATAGATAACAAACATTTTTTTTATAAATTTAAAAAGTTTAAGGATCTCTTTACTCTGATTCTGTTATTTTTCAGCAGTCATTAGTCAGGCTAAAATGTTTTTTTAAAAAAAAAATAAAAGAAAATTTAGTGAAAATATATATAATTCTTTTTTTTTTGGTAAGCGAAAATATATATAATTCAATTCCTTCTTTGAACCTCACATATATAATTTATAAACAATGGCAAAAGGAAGTATCAAGGCATACACAACATGATACAACTTGTAAAGATCTATCTGCCTTAGATTATCAAGGATATCACACTTGTATAGCTTTCTAATTCATTTAAAATATAGGGGGTGTTTGATTTGTTAAAAAATTAAGAAATAATATATTAAAAGAATTTATTTATTGTTCAAATATTATAATTACTTGAAAAATATAATTTAAGGTATATATAACATAAATTTCTAAATTTTAATTATCCAATAAGTTATGTTATATATTTTTATCTATAAAAAGAAAGGAAAAAATATATAATTCTTACCCTTTTATTATCCTAGTTTAATTTATTGCTCTAGCAAAATCAGCCAGGTAAATAAAGTGAATACCAGGTGGTGGGTTTTCGCAAAACAGATATTGCACAGCCTCATCATGCCCCCAAGATAAAAAAATCTCCATCCAATCCGCACAAGCATTTCCTTTCGTGAATGTGTGATTGAGTCTAACCATCCAATCCCTCTGAATTCATGCTTGTATCCGAGAAATCAATTAACTATCACGAGCTGCTGCACCCTGGGAGGTGAGAGTTAATTCCAGCCCACGAAGCATGCCTCAGAGCTCTGCTCTGAAAGAACTACAAATCCCAAGTCTATAAGCAAAATCACCCAGCTATCTCCCTTGAAAATCTCTTATAACCCCATCACATGCAACTATTCAGGAGCTCCATGTGCAACACCATCCATATTAACCTTAACAAAGCCCACAGAAGGAAATTGCCAAAAAAATGTCAGCATACATTATTCTACTTACCGCTGGATGCTCGTTTCCACTTCCAACAGCCACCTCAACGTCATGAACAAGATTCCAAATTAGCATACCTCTCAACCTGATTAGGGGAATCTCAGTGCCATACAATTTCTTATTTCTCCGTTGTCACACTTTTCAACAGGTCAAGAAAAACATAAAAATAACACAATTTTTATTCTGGCCATGAAACGCTTAATTAATCAATCAAAAAATTATTTTGATTATACTATATCTGAATATGCATCACACATCACTCATAATAAAAGTCAATCTGCTACATATATTACATTCCTTTAGTATTTTATTTTGAGGAAAAATATTTATCATTTTAAATGATACAATTTTGTATCATTAAGTAAAAAGATTGTGTTTGGTAATTTTTTTACATTCTTGTTGCCAACACGACAACTATAACGGTCATTCCAAGTAATAAAGTGATTAAGTAAGAGGATCGTTCTTACAAGGACTAAATTTAAGCAATAATTAACCGCTTTTATCTTAGTTAGACAATTCAAAAGTGACTTCAAATGGTAATAATATTTAATTAAAAATTAAATAAAAGATGCAGACTAAAGAAATTGATTTAAAAGATGAACTTGAAATTATGAATAAAAATACAATTAAGTTTACTTCACCTCAGATCCCCCTTAATTGGTGTTAGAGATATATAAAATCATTAATATAACATCACCCACCAGCTTAAGCTTTTAGGTTGAATTGGTTATTTACATGGTATTATAATATTATTGACCACAAGGTCACAAGTTCGATCATCATCACAAATTTTTTTATTGTGATCCGAGACCATGTTACTGTTTTGTGGTCCTTTTCCAAAAGGGGTAAATTTTCATCTCATTTATACCCTTTTCTTTTCCCCAAATTCCCCCTCCGTCCTTTTTCCTCCTATATATAGAAATTTTCATCTCATTTATACCTTTTCTTTTTTCCAAATTCCCCCTCCGTCCTTTTTTCCTCCTATATTTAGAAAAGGAGCTATTGCTCCGAGACCACAGCAAACAAGCTCCATCATCACCTCTATTTTCTAGTGGAATTAAAATAAACACAAGGTAAAATAAAAAATTGAGTCTATGTAATACCCACGCTTCAAGCCCAATTGACTCTTATATGAAGGAGTGTGTTAGAGAATAATATAAATAATTAAAAGACCCTCACTTTGTGTTGAAATGATTCTTTATACGGTATCAGAGCCTCGGAGTCTCGAATTCGATTCTCGTCATCACCTTTCAAGCCAATGTGCTAACTTATGAGAAAGCGTGTTAGAGTATAATATAAACTATTGAGGTGGTCATTAGGAAACATTTCATACATTTCTTATTCTCACAAATAATGCCTCGGGTATGGTCTGGCGAGAAAAAAATAAAATAAAAACTATATAAACTCCTATAAATAAAGCGGAAAAAGAATTGTGAGGGTAAAAATTATGAAATTAACAGTAACAATATTCAGAAGAAGTCTGCTAAAACAAAACTTCATATTCAAAAGAATTTCGAAAAAAAAAAAAAAACAATGAGAAAGTCTTGCGAAATAGTGACCCAAAGGCGACAAATCAAGATGTGACTAAAACTATAAAAGGGTAAGAAAAACAAATATGTCTGGGAAAAATGGAAATGAGGGTAATTTCAGTGGGCGCACACACATGTGATCCACCAAACTTATTTCAAAATGCAATATATAACGTAACTTCGAGTTGACAAGACCTCAACAAATAGAGCCTACGTAAAAGACACAGCACACTCATGAGCTAATAAGCACCTATTTGTGTCCTTCTTTTGTAGGTATATATATAGGCCTTAACATTTTTGCTTTTCATTTTTAACTTTCACTTTGACCTTTAAAGGCAACATTCTCCTCCATCTAATCAGGAAACTTTCAATTATTTATTTGGTTTGTTTTTATTACAACACAATGCAATTTAACCTTGAAACTTATACTAAAACACTTTAGAAGTACCTCATTATCATTAACTCATTCTTAATGAATGTTCGATTTCTCTTGTACACTACGAGAACCAAACCATACAAAAAGAATACAACATGTGAATTATGAAAAACTTTTTAAAATGGTGTATGATAATAAAGCCATGATTTCAATGGAAATTGGTGAACCATCGTGAAGAAGATTATTTCATCTATAGCTAAAGAGTGCTTGAAACAGAATCAAAGAAAGAAATCTATTCCTGGGGCAGAATAAAAACTGAAAAATTCACTACTAAACTTTTGCACGTAGAAAACATACATTTTTTGAGGCATGATATGAAGGAAAATTGTCTCTAACATTAACCTTTCTCTGCTATTTACATGGGGAATAATAAAGAGCATAACACATAACCCTTTTTCTGCATGCTTGAACTTGGATCCTTGGCTATGGCTCTGAGGACTCTTTGAGTTTGTTTTAGTCCACGATTTGAGCAAAGACACAAACGTGAATTAAACAATATAATACTTGGGAAGTTTTCAATCATGCCAACAGAGAAGCATGACTACACATCTTCTTATAATGTATAGTCTTCCTTTATGCTCTCTGAGGTACCCTCCAAGCCTTCTGCATGATACCTTCTTCTTTGAAGCTCTCATGGATTCACTACTCATATTTGTATATAACAAAGACCCCCAAACCTTTTCTATACCCCTTTCTTTTCTTTTTCTGCTTACACTTTGTAGTGTACACACAGATAGATAAACTGAGAGTACACAGACAGATAGACAATATGTGTGTGTGTTGAAACTTGAAACCCCTTGAAGCAATGTTTCAAATGGGACTCCAAAGGGCTTCTTATAGAACAAATTGTGTGGTCCTTGGTTCCGAAAGAAAATGTAATAGGCCCCCCCAATTCAGATTCCATGCCCCCATTTTCTCTTTCTCTCTCCCTCTGCACCAACATTTATGTGGCATCAACCACCAAGATAAGTGGTCGGCCATTGAGTAAAACAAAAATAATAATAATTTTTAAGTGATGCCTAAATAAAAAGCCAATGTTATCTTAGATATTTGTGCTTTCCATGGTTTTGTGGCTATGTAATAAGAACCTCATAATTATTAGGCCAAGAAACAATGAAGCTTCCTTGTAATGTCGTTTGACTAGATTCTCCAATTATTAATTAGCTTATTCATATCAGCATGAAATTTCCTCTTCAAATTAAGTAAAATTAGCTATTGTACGTGCTGAGTTGTTTTTTTTTAACACCGATTAACATGTTGTATATTAGTTAGGTAAAAAGCACAATACTATAGTGTTAATTTTGGTCTTACCCATGTTCCTGTACCAAAATTTTATAGGTTCTGTGCAAAACTAACAGATGTCTACATTCTATATCTTGCACTAGATTGTCCCAAAACTGTAATGGCAGGTTTATAGTCAAAGTTAGGCATGTGATTTCAAATATGGGATATAAAGACAAGGGTGTGTCAGAGAAGGTTATCTTAAAGGACATTAGAGTATTGCTTCAAAAAAAAAGAAAAAAAGAAAAAGGACATTAGAGTATAAATGTAAAATGGTTGTGGCTCCACAAGTAATGGTCTAATTAATGTGCTTAGCCGTGTGGCAATGAGGAAGGTTCTTTCTCAATGTAAGTCCACAAATATAGTAAAAGATCAAAGTTATTTAATGATCATTTTATTTGTTTTATTTATGTTTTTATCTGTTACCGTATAATTTATTTTTTTCCCTGTTGCCTGAGCCTATAAGCTTGAAGCCCAAAAAATGAGTCTTTATTTGGCAATTGACATAGAATGTGAAAGCTAGAAAATACTGCTGAATCTGAAATTTTTGGGACCGGTGACTTCTTCAAACGCGACCAATTATTACAATATTTAGGGCTTCATCTTAATTTAATTAATAACAAGCATAATCCCACATGTTTTGTCTTGTGCTCCACCCATATCACTTAGATTATTAGCAGTTTCCATTTATCTATTTTCTCTTCTCTTTGGTAGCATAAATAAAAGTTTTGTCGCGCCCTATTAGGTCATTCATTGGTGGCATCATGAATACACTCTATATATATTCATTAAACTGAATTTCTCTTAATGGTGACAGCAAAATGTCAAATTAATGGACTTTTTTTCTTTTCTTTTCAATAAAAATTAATTAATTGCACGATCAAGATAGCTTAACCTCTTATTCAAAAAAAAAAAAAAAAAAACTGTGGCATAATAAGATAGTTTATCTTTATATATAAACTTGAATTTATTATATTTATTTCCATTGTTTCCATCACAGAGTCAAGTCCTCAATAGTCAAATTCACTTTTTTTATTCTCAATGAAGTCAGATTTTTATTAAGGGAATGGGGGTAAAGAAGAAGTGACACGTTAAACAAAGAGTTAAAGGGATTTATCAAAAAAAAAAAGTGGAAACAAAGAAAAAGGAAAGAAAGATATACGTGTTAGGCTTGGTATATGTGTTGAGCATGGGCATGATTTTAAAATGTGATTTTCATGTTGAATGGGGTCCAATGAGTTCATTGTATTAATCCTACCCAAGGTGTGGGGAGAAGGGTCTAACCACAAGGGACATGGGAACTTTAAATATATCTAGAAGGCCTTAACTAGTATCAATTTTGTCTGAACCATGTTCCTTTCAGCTGGCTTTTGTCTAAGAATATCTTAATAAACTAATTAAAACGCAAAGCTGTACTGCACTAAGAAGACATGTCAATTTGTACTAATAAAAAATAAATAATAATAATAATAATAAAAAGACATGTCAACACGTGAAATGCTCGTGAGTGACATTGTCACTGCCTTTGATACTGTAGACAAACCTAGATTTTTTGCTTGGTGTTCACAATTTCGTGAGTCTCTTGTCCAATTCATGTTTCGATAAAAATCTTGATTTTCCTTCAACACATTCTGAAATTCTTTACCAAGTAATAATATAATAAAAACATATATTAGAATAGCTGATTTTGTAAATTTCTTGGTTTAATACAAGATTATGCACAAATAACCATATATCTCATTAGTACGGTTCAGTGTACTTGATTGCACACAAGACAATACACAAGAAGAATGCTAATTCGATTTGGATATTACTTTGGAGAGCTTACTATGTACATTATATATCTGTCATTATATTGAGTCTCTTATAATTACCCTTCAGATGAGTTTGAGAATCTTAAAATATGGGTAAATTGCATTTAAGCATTGAACGAATTAAGTATGGAACACGGAAGTACGATTATTCATACCCATTTGCTTCTTCTTTTTTTCCTGTAGACATTATATTTATTTGATCATTCCATTTAATCATTTAGGATGAATATTTTTAATTTGAATCTAGTATGAGAGTTGAATTTAAAACAGTTTAAATTAAGTAATCATATATTTGATTGGTTCTGATAAACTAATCATCGCTTTAATGGTTAGCCTAATCCTAATTAGAGATAATATTGAATTCCTTTTAATAAGACTTTGTGAGATGGGAAAAAAAAAGGATAATGATTGTTGGATATTTTTGCTGCCAATTAAGGATTTCAAGTTGTGATGATTTTGTTTGTCTATTCCTTGAAAGGCAGCGCCGCTTGGAATTGTGGTGGAGCTTAACCGGAGTACTCGACTAGCACTTTTTATGGTGAGTGTCCAGAATTTGGGAGCATGCATCAGTGTCACGATAGCAGAATGCTGGGGCATATAATGGTACTGTTTTACATGGGAGAAGAGATATTTTAAATATTATTGGTGTATTACAATATTCTTCTTCTTCTTCTTTTTGTTGTTGTTGTAAAACAACAGTTTAGAGCTTTGAAAATTAAATAATTCTTACAAGGAATTAACGTCTATCACTAAAATGAGATAAATCTTAATTATAAGGGTTCATTAGTATGTATAGTAGTTAAAATTTTGATTTATCATTGCAATTTTATATTTTTAAAAAAAATTTCATCAAAATATTTTTACCAATATTTCAAGTATTTTTACGATTTTTTTTACGTTATAATTTTTTGTATTACAATATTTTATCCCTTTTTCCTTTTATGTAAAATTTTATTTTTTAAATACCTTGCTCTAAAGTGAAATTATTTCTAAAATAAGTAAGTAAAAGTGTATATATTTCTCATTTATCTTAATCTGCTAAAATTCAAGAGTAGATACATTTTATTTACATTTCGAAATAAGTTAACAAATAGAAAATAGTATTCATTACTCATTCTATTTACTTGAAAAGCTATTGAATATCTTTTTAGATTCTCAAGATATTAAATACTTATTTTTTTTATTTTGTAACTTCTGTTTTGAACACACTTATTAAATCCACAATATATATTTATGTATTTATCATTTATTTGAGTTATTATTATATGTATTAACTAATTATATATTAAATATAATTTGTATTAAAATTTTAAATATGATTCATAATATTGGAAATAATGTAATTTATATAATTGACAAGATAGGCTTGAACTAATTGGATACAATAAATATATCAAGGAATAAAACGCTTTTACAATGGGGAAAAAAATCAAGAGACTACTATTTTGCTTGGTTTACATCAGGAGAGTACTAATTTGCTTAGTTTTATATAGGAGCATTGCCAGCTTACCAAAAAAAAATAAAGATAGGAGCATTGCCAAGTACAACCATTTTATTTTTACAAAACAACCATAAAAATAAGTGGCAGGCAAAGATATTTCTCAACAAAAATTCATAACTATAAATAAGAACTTTGTATACTAAGGAAACAAGACCTGGATTATTTGATCGGGATGTTAGCTAGAAGTAAGGAAAACTTTATTTTTTTAAAAAAGTTGGAAGGAAAAAATATTTTATAGTGAAGTCCACTTAAAAAGTTGGACTATTTTTAGTAGAATTCATCCATTAACTATTACGGATTATAGTTAATATTTTTACAATAATTTAATTTTATGTATTCTTATTGAGAATTCTATAGTCATTAAAATTTGTAATTTCGAGTAATTTTACTCGTTTGTAATTATGCTTTTATTGAAATTGGATTTTTGTAGATGTTTCTACATCTGTCCAAGTAAAAGCTTAAATATCCAGTTTACTTTTACTACACGTTCTATTTAACTTTTGGAAATAATATATGAATACTGAAAATAATGATAGTGTAAATTATTTGAGAGTATGTGAAGAGTACTAACAAATAGGGGTGGGAATATGGGTTGACCCACCCCATCCTCAACAACCACTTTAAAAACAAGGCGGGGTGGATTGATCCGTCATTGAATATGGGTTGAAAAAATAAATTTTTTCTATTTTATGGTGGGTTGGTGAATTGAACTGTCAATTAAAAAAATAATTAAAATTCAAAAATAAATTATATTTTATAAATTTTATAATTTTATTTTATTTAATTTCATGCTCCTAAAAAAAAAATAGTCTCAATCTTGAATATGTGCTAATATTCAGTTAAATATTCTTTAAGAACTCATTTGTCTTCGTATATAGATAATATTTATCATAAATATTTTTTTTTTCTAGAGAATACTAAAATAAAAAAATTAGATATCACAAAAATCTAATAATAAATAAAATATTCCTTAACGGGTAAATTCTTCCCACAACAGGTTGAATCCATTTCATTCATTTTTAGACAAATGGATTGAAAACTTTAATCCAACCAGCCGAGACTAAGCGACACCTTTACT